CCTAACTTCGCGCACCGCGCCCCGCGATGCGCGCGACGCGCGGCCATCTCTTCGCGCCCTCGCGCCGCCGCCCTGGAGGAGGGCGCCTCTCCAAACGAGGCCGCGATGCGCGAAGCGCGATCCTCTTCGCGCCCGTGGGAGTGGCCTGGGGATGGAGGCCTGGAAATGGGCACCAACACCAACACCAAGCCAGAATATTACCACCATCACCGAGATCGGGATCGTCTTCCCTCGGTGGAGGCACACCGCCGATCTTGGTGTTGGTGTCGACCTCTAGGCCTGCGATAGGGGTGTCCGATGCGTACCCAAGCGTCGAGTGGGCCCGCAGGGGTAGCGCTCGCAACGAGTCGCAGGAGCCTCTCGCCGCCCGCCCGGACCCCGTCGAGGTACGCCCTCACGTCCGCTGGGAGGGACGAGAAGAACGAGAACGTCTCCTCGCTGGGCGCAGAGGGCCATACTCTGAGATCCTGGCGTTGCAATTCTCTGTCGCAGCGGGCGATCTTGCTTCGTTTCGGACCCTGGGGCCCTCAAGGATCGATCAGGCTTGAAAAATGCGACACAAAGATCAGGTCTGGGGCCCCTGTCGTGATTTCCCGACCATCCTGTGGTGTTGGGCCCTCGTTTTGAAGAGACAGTGCCCCGCGTCTCCTTCCCTCCTTCTTGCCCCCCTCCTCTCCTCGTCCACAACCACCACAACCCATCATCATCACCACCACCACCATCATCATCATCATCATCATCATCATCAGCAGCAGCATCATCATCATCATCAGCAGCAGCATCAGCATCAGCATCATGACCACCATCACCATCATCATCATCATCATCATCAGCAGCAGCAGCAGCATCAGCATCAGCATCAGCATCAGCAGCACGATCACCATCACCATCATCATCAGCATCATCATCAGAACCATCTCCATCACCATCACAATCACTATTATTATCACCATCACCGTCGTCATCGTCTTCATCAACAGCATCATCATCATCAGCAGTATCATCATCAGCAGCATCAGCATCATCAGCATCATCAACAGCATCATCAGATTCCGCATCATCAGCATCACCATCATCATCATCATCATCATCATCATCAGAATCAGCATCAGCATCATCATCATGAACATCATCGTAATCAGCAGCATCATCATCAGCCTCATCAGCAGCACCATCATCATCAGCAGCAACAGCATCAGCATCACCATCATCACCATCACCACCACCATCATCAGCAGCAGCAACAGAAGCAACAGCAGCCGCATCATCGTCATCATCATCATCATCATCAACAGCATCCGCAGTATCACCATCAGCAGCAGCATCATCATTAGCACCATCATCACAACCATCATCATCAGCAGCATCAGCAGCATCATCATCATCATCAGCATCATCATCATCATCATCGTCATCATCATCATCATCATCATCATCATCATCATCAGCATCATCATCGTCAGCAGCAGCAGCAACAGCATCACGATCATCATCAGCAGCAGCAGCATCATCATCATCAGCCGCAGCATCCGTAGCATTACCAGCACCATGATAAGTGCGTAGCGCCCCTCACACGCTTCGTGCCCCCATAGGGAGTTCCACCGAAGGCTCCAATTGGACCCGATTCGGCGCACCCCTCACGCGCTTCGTGGCCCTATAGGGATCTCCTGCGAACACTCCAATGGCAAGGTCCGCATGGCTACCCGCCCGATGTTGGCGCACCCCTCGCACGCTCCGTGGACACATACGAAGCTCCACCGAAGGCCTCAGTGACATGGTCCGCATGATTACCCGCCCCCATTCGGTCCTCCCCTCACACGTTTCGTGGCCCCCCAGTGGGCTACAACAAAGGCTCCATTTGCAGGGTCCGCATGCTTACCCGCCCCAAGTCGGCGCAGCCCTCCCACGCTTCGTGGTCAAAACTCCGCCGAACACTCCAATGGCAGGGTCCACATGATTATCCGCCCCATGTCGGCGCACCCCTCGCACATTTCGTGGCCCCATAGGGAGCTCCGCCGAAGGCCTCAGTGGCAGGGTCCGAGTGGTTACCCACCCCATGTCGACCCACCCCTCACACGTTTCGTGGCCGCATAAGGAGCTCCACCAAAGGCTCCAGTGGCAGGGTCTGCATGGTTGCCCGCCCCCATTCGGTCCAACCCTCACACGTTTCGTGGCCCCATAGGGAACTCCGCCGAAGGCCCCAGTAGCGGGTCCGCATGGTTACCCGCCACAATTCGGCCCATCCCTCAAACAGTTCGTGGACAGATGGGGAGCTCCAGCGAAGGCCGCACACCAGTGGCGGGGTCCGCATGATTGCTCGCCCCCTGTCGGCGCGCCCCCCACGCGCTTCGTGGCTTGATAGGAGCCTCCATCGAAGGCCCCAGTGGCGGGGTCCGCCTGGTTACCCGCCCCATTTCGGCGCACCCCTCGCACGCGTCGTGGACCCATGAGGAGCTCCACCGAAGGCCGCAGTGGCAGGGTCAGGATGGTTACCCGCCCCATTACGGCGCACCCCTCGCACCCATCGTGCCCTCACATGGAGCTCCTCCGAAGGCCCCAGTGGCAAGGTTCGCATTGCGTTTCGGGTGATCCTTGGGGGACCAGAGTCGCGGGAGTGCGTGCCGAACATGGCCCGACGTTCTTTGGCGAAGCTTTCAGGGGTACAGCAGAACCCCCAACTAGCTCTTGTGTGTTGACTGGTCCTGCTGATACCTCCCACGCGTTTAGAAAAGGGTCAGTCTCTTCGCCAGGGTAATTCGCGTCGTCGGGTCTCAGGGTGCTAGTACTATGCGACCCCCTTGGAGGCGCATGTCCGAAGCGAACATAAAGCACAAGCATCTTGCAGTAGATCATTTTCCAGGCGGTACCGCCGTTTGCGAAATAAACGCCCACGCGTGGAAGTACCGAGATCCCCGCCCCGCGCCCCGCATTTCAATGTTGGCCACCGAACACGCCGAAGGGGAGTGCGAAGCGTTGCGAAATAAACGCCCACTTATGTTGGACTGCCCAGCCCTCCCCGTCAACCTTGAAATACGGGGGAAAGGGGCGTGCTTCGTCGTCTTGTTTTCGATCCCTAAGATGGGCGTTTATTTCGCAAACGGCGGTATCGCCAGAAAGCGCCCTCCAAACACCAGCAATGGCACGCCACCGTGGGGAACTCACCAGCGTGCTGCAGCTCAGGAGACAACAAACCTTCGGACAGAAGCGAGGGAGCAACACGCTGATAGGCTCCCAAAAGCGGCGCGTCGCTGAAACTCTCTTTCCCTCCCGATCCTTGCGCACGCAGGCCTCGACGACGAAGATGTTCCGGGAATGCTTCGCGCGCTTCCTCCTGGACTCGGCGCTGCGCTGGAACTCGACGATGTCAGGCGCCGCCGTGCTGTTGTCCAGCCCCTCGAGCGGCCTCCCGGCGTCCACTCGCATGCACCGCTCGAGGAACGACCGGCGCAGCGCGTCGGGAATCAGCGGCGACATCGCCAGCGTCGGGCTCACCAGCTCGCACTCCTCCAGCGTGAGGCGCGGGATGGCGACCGAGAGTTGCGCCTGGAAGACGTCGAGGAAGCGCGAGCTGAGCTTCGCCCCCAGCTGGCTAAGCGCGTTCCCGATCTGGATCAGCTGGGTGGCCGTGAACGGGGCCAGCACCTCCCAGCTGCACGCGAGAATGACCCTGCGCAAGAGCGGCCTTCGGTGCGCAACTGTCGGTGGGGCGAGGGGGAACCGAACCCAAGCGCGCAAGCCGCTGACATTGCATTGCGCTCAACGCTCGGGGGACCCCTGTGGGTCTCGGGAATCTGCTGACCCGGGTCAATTCAAGCCCAGGTCAGTCAGGTTTTGCTGGGATCCTGCAAGATCCTGCAGGATCCTGCGCGCTGAGCCGGGCCAATGCACCCCTGGCTCTGCAGGATCCCGCAAGATCCGACGCTCCGACTGGCCGGAAGGGCCAGCCCGGGGAAGGGGCCCATGCCCCTGGGGTCGACGCTGTGAAGAAATCACGACGTCGGAGTTCTGGGGGCCTGACTCCTGACTTCTCCTCCAGTCTGCCCCTCGCATTAGGTCGGGCATGTCCCCCGACAAGCAGATTTTTGGGCGACAAAAATAAAAATACAAAAAAATGCCCCAAAACAATCAAACAGTATTTAAAAAAATCGTCCCCATAATGTTTTTAAATTTTCTTCCTGTGGAGGGACAGGCCCGACTTAACCCTCGCTCGCCCCTGGCGCCGCTGGGCTGGGAAGGCTGCCGCACCAAAGGCCACTCTGGCGGAGTGTCACTCATACGCATAGAGGAGGAAGAGGAGGAGGAGGTACAGGAGGAGGAGGAGGAGGAGGAGGAGGAGGAGGAGGAAGAGGAGGACGAGGGGGGGGGGGAGGAGGGGGAGGAGGGAGGAGGGGGAGAGGAGGAGAGGAGGAGGAGGAGGAGGAGCAGGAGGAGGAAGGGAGGAGGAGGAGGAGGAGGAGGGACGAGGACGAGGACGAGGACGAGGACGAGGACGAGGACGAGGCACAGCCGAACCTCAACGGGCGCTGCGGCCGGCCGGGGCGCGGCCGGCGCCGACGGGGCGAGCCCCGACCCGTCGCTGGCGGCCGCCGTGGCAGCGGCGTCCACCTTCCGCGACGGGGCTGGAGGGCGCCTCGGCGCGCGGACGGCCTGAGGAGAGCTCTCCCTCCTCCTCCTCCTCCTCTTCCTCCTCCTCCTCCTCCTCCTCCTCCTCCTCCTCCGCCTCCTCCTCCTCCTCTTCCTCCTCCTCCTCCTCCTCCTCCGCCTCCTCCTCCTCCTCTTCCTCCTCCTCCTTCTCCTCCTCTTCCTCCTCCTCCTCCTCCATCACCAGTCCTGGCCAGGCCCATCCTGGGCCCTGGACTGGTGTACAGGCCCTCCTGGCCTAGGCCAGGAGATCTATGCACTGGTCCAGGGCCCAAGACGGGTCTGGCCAAGACTGGTGGAGGTGCATTGTTCGCGTCCCTCCGGGCCTTGCGGCTCCCGGCCCGGATCATGTTCATCGCCTCTCGTGAGCGAAACAACCTATCTCCGCGGCCTTGCGGGCCGGGCCCCCCAGCCGCGACCCCGCGGATACAGGAGCGATTTTCCTGGACAGGGCCTGGGCCCAGGGTTCTCTTTTAGAGCTTTGAGCCCCAGCCTCGGCTTGCGTAGGGCTGGCGGAAGTATTTGCGATAAGTAACGGTATAAGCGCACGTTGGACAAATTATCCTCGCGAAGAGACCAACCCTTGTCTAACCGCGAGGCAGATATCAGCAGGACCGCTCAATATACAAGAACTACTTGGGGGGTCTGATGTACCCATGGAAACTTTGCCGAAGAACGTCGGGCCATGCTCGGCACGCACTCCCGCGACTCTGGTCCCCCAAGGATCACCCGAAACGCAGCGCGAACCCTGCCACTGGGGCCTTCAGTGGGACTCCATATGAGGCCACGATGGGTGCGAGGGGTGCGCCGTAATGGGGCGGGTAATCATGCTGACCCTGCCACTGCGGCCCTGGGTGGAGCTCCTCATGGGTCCACGGGGTGCGCCGAAATGGGGCGGGTAAACAGGCGGACCCCGCCACTGGGGCCTTCGATGGAGGCTCCCTTTAGGTCACGAAGCGTGTGAGGAGCGCGCCGACGTGGGGCGGGCAATCATGCGGACCCCGCCACTGTGGCCTTCGGTGGAGCTCCCCATGGGTCCACGAACTGTTTGAGGGGTGGGCCGAAATGATGCGGGTAATCATGCGGACCCTGCCAATGACGCCTTCGGCGGAGCTCCCTCTTGGGCCACGAAACGTGCGAGGGGTGCGCTGACATGGGCGGGTAGCCATGCGGATCGTGCCACAGGGGCCTTCGGCGGAGCTCCTTATGGGGTCACGAAACGCTGGCGCGGGTAATTAATCATGTGGACCCTGTCATTGGAGCCTTCGGCGGAGCTCCCTGTGGGACGACACAACGTGCGAGGGGTGAACCGACATGGGGCGGGTAATCATGCGGACCCGCCATTGGAGCCTTCGTTAGAGCTCACTGGGGGGCCACGAAACGTGTAAGGGGTGGGCCGAAATGGGGCGGGTAACCAGGCGGGCCATGCCATTGAGGCCTTCGGCGGAGCGCCCTATGTGGCCACGAAGCGTGTGAGGGGTGCGCCGACATGGGGCGGGTAAGCATGCGGACCCTGCCACTGGGGCCTTTGGCGGAGCTCACTATGCGGCCACGAAGCGTGGGAGGGGTGGGCCGAAATAGGGTAGGTAATCACGCGGACCCTGCCCTTGGAGCCTCGGTGGAGCACCCTATAGGGCAACGAAGCGTGTGTTGGGTGCACCGACATGGAGCGGGTAATCATGCGGACCCTGCCATTGGAGACTTCGGTGGATCCCCCTATGGGGCCACAAAGCGTGTGAAAGGTGCGCCGAAATGGGGCGGGTGACCATGCGGACCCCGCGACTGGGGCATTCCATTGAGTTCTCATTGGGCCACGAGGCGCGTGAGGGGTGTGCCGACATAAAACGAGTAATCATGCGGACCCGGCCATTGAAGCCTTCGGTGGAGCTCCCGATGGTGGAACGAAGCGTGTGAGGGGCGCTACGCACTTACCATAATGATGGTAATGATGATGGTGATGCAGATGATGATACTGACGACGATGATGGCGATGATGGTGATGTTTATACTGATGCTGGTACTGATGAAGATGAAGACGACGATGATGATGATGATGATGATGATGATGATGATGATGATGATGGTGATGATGGTGATGATGGTGATGGTGATGATGATGATGGTGATGGTGATGGTAATGGGTGGTGGTGGATGAAGATGAAGACGACGATGATGATGATGATGATGGTGATGATGATGATGGTGATGATGATGATGATGGTGATGGTGATGGTGATGGTGGAGGTAATGGGTGGTGGTGGTGGATGAAGATGAAGACGACGATGATGATGATGACGATGATGGTGATGATGATGGTGGTGATGATGATGATGATAATGATGATGATGATGATGATGATGATGATGATGATGATGATGGTGATGGTGATGGTGATGGTAATGGGTGGTGGTGGTGGATGAAGAAGAAGAAGAAGAAGAAAAAGAAAAAGAGAGGAGGGGGGAGGAGGAAGGAAGGAAACGCGCGGCGCTGCGAATTCGAAACGAGGGCCCAACACACAGGAGGGTTGGGAAAAAAGGATGCGTTTCGCGCGTGTCCGCTCCAAGAAAATGCGCGCCCCATATCGGACCCTCGCTGCCTAACAGGGTCCGCAACCCCCCTATTCACTTCCGTAAAAAAGGGTGCGGAGCGTTTTGCGCAGAAACCGAACTAAATCCGCCGACCCTGTCGGCGTGTGGAAGACGCATCCCTGTGTCGTCGCCGTGTGTGGATCACCGTCGTCGTCGTCGTCGTCGTCGTCGTCGTCGTCGTCGTCGTCGTCGTCGTCGTCGTCGTCATCGTCGTCGCCAGAAATAAAGGAAATCGAACACGAAACAGAAGGACATCGCAGTCGCGGCGAAGCCCCTCCCTCTCCCTCCCTCTCCCCCGCCCCCTCCCCCTCCTCCTCCTCCTCCTCCTCCTCCTCCTCCTCCTCCTCCTCCTCCTTCTCCCTCCTCCTCCTCCTCCTCCTCCTCCTCCTCCTCCTCATCCTCGCCTCTCCTCCTCCTCCTCCTCCCCCTCCTCCTCCTCCCTCCCTCCTCCTCCTCCTCCTCCTCCTCCTCCTCCTCCTCCTCCTCCTCCTCCTCCTCCTCCTCCTCCTCCTCCTCCTCTCCTTCCTCCTCCTCCTCTCCTCCTCCTCCTCGCCTCCTCCTCCTCCTCCTCCTCCTCCTCGCTCCTCCTCCTCATCCTCCTCCTCCTCCCCATCCTCCTCCTCCTCCTCCTCCTCCTCCTCCTCCTCTCCCTCCTCCACCTCCCTTTCCTCCTCCTCCTCCTCCTCCTCCCCCTCTCCTTCCTTCCTCCTCCTCCTCCTCTCCTCCCCTCCTCCCCCTCTCCTCCTCCTCTCTCACCTCTCCTCCTCCTCCGCCTCCTCCTCCTCCTCCTCTCCTCTCCTCCTCTCCTCCTCCTCCTCCTCCTCCTCCTCCTGCCTTCCTCCTCCTCCTCCTCCCTCCTCCTCCTCCTCCTCCTCCTCCTCCTCCTCCTCCTCCTCCTCCTCTCCTCCACAATTACTCAATATGAATATACTCTCCCTCTTCCCCTGATGGCGTCCGGGTGATGGCCGCGCACCCTCCGCATACTGTTTTTTTACACACAGGATGCCCGGGAAATCCCGGGAAACGACTCTCGCTGAGGCGCCGGCGTCATTTTTTCCCAAAATGCTGCTCTCGCGCTGGCGTCATTTTCTCCCAAAATGCTGCTCTCGTTGAGGTGCGCCGGCCTCATTTCTGCTCCCGAATCCTTCCCCTGATGGCGTCCGGGTGATGGCCGCGCACCCTCCGCGTACTGTTTTTTTACACACAGGATGCCCGGGAAATCCCGGGAAACGACTCTCGCTGAGGCGCCGGCGTCATTTTTTCCCAAAATGCTGCTCTCGTTGAGGCGCCGGCCTCATTTCTGCTCCCGAATCGTTCCGAATCGTGCTCCCGCTGCAGCGTGGGCCTCATTTTCGGATCGGTGTTTGGCCTCCGTCGTTCAGGATGGCGTTCTCGCCCCAGCGCGGGCCTTTTTCTCGCGCGCCCATCCGCCCGCCACCACCGCGCCGCACCGCCACCACCACCACCACCACCACCACCACCACCACCACCACCACCACCAGCACCAGCACCAGTACCAACACCACCACCACCACCAGCACCACCACCACCACCACCACCACCATCACCACCACCACCACCACCACCACAACCACCACCAGCACCACACCAGTACCAAACCACCACCACCACACCACACCACCACACCACCACCACCACCACCACCACCACCACCACCACCACCACCACCACCACCACCACCACGACACCCACGCACACACACACGCACGCACGCACGCACGCACGCACGCACCACCACCACCCACTACGCACGCGCGCGCGGAGCCACAGGTCCGCTACGACACGCGTCCGCGGATAGAGAAAATCAGCGCCATGGTAAGGATGGGAGGGAGGGGTAGGACGCCAGATATGACGCGAGCGCACCTAGCTTGTCCCTCCTCCCCCTCCCCCCTCTCCCCCCTCCCCCCTCCCCCCACCTCCCTCCTCCTCCTCCTCCTCCTCCTCCTCTTCCTCCTCCTCCTCCTCCTCCTCCTCCTCCTCCTCCTCCTCCTCCTCCTCCCCTTCCTCCTCCTTCTCCTCCTCCTCCTCCTCCTCCGACACGTCTTCATTTACCTCCGACGTCTTATCACGCATCCCGTCACCCTCGAGGGCTGAGGTATCCAGGGTCAGCGGCACTGGCCGTAAGGCCTTAGCAATAACTAAGTTCGGATGCCCTAAAATTTGGACGGAGCGCACTGCGCGCAAGTTGTTCGAGGATGTCTCGAGCACTGCGCTTGTTTTGCGGAAGGCATGTTGGTGTTTTGCGTGTCCGCTCCAGGATGGCGTGCACTGAGTGCCGAATATGTGAAGGTGTTTCGAGCGAAACGTTTGTTCTGCAGCGCGTGAAGGTCTGGGCGCCCAAAGATGCCCAAGTGGTTCTGGGAGTGCGGTCGGACCGTTACTTACGAGCTGGAACTACGTGCTTTTACGTGTCCAGGCCACACAGTGGGTATCGAACATGGTCGTTCCGAAATGGAACCACGTGTTTTTACGTGTCCAGGCCACCCAGGGCGCTATCTAACATGGTTATCCCCCCACCCAGGGGTACATCTAAGATGGTGGCCCCGAGCTGGAACCACGTGTTTTTACGTGTCCAGGCCGCCCAGGGGGGTATCTAAGATGGTTGCCTCTTGCCCCTCGCTGGAACCCTGTGTTGTCACGTGTCCAGGGCACCCAGAAAAAAAGTATCCAACATGGTGGCCCCGAACTGGAACCCAGTGTTCCATGTGTCCAGGCCACCCAGAAGGGTAGCCAACATTGTGGCCCCTCGC